CCTCCCTGGGGGATGGACAACAGAAAAGTGGGTGAAGGGAGGCTTCGGACAGTGTAAGATATGACAAAATAATAATTTATAAATTATCAAGGGTTTATGAGGGAGTGGGGAGCGGGGAGGGAGGGGGAAAAATTGAGGAGCTGATACCAGGGGCTAAGGTGGAGAGCAAATGTTTTGAGAATGGTGAGGGTAACGAATGTACAAATGTGTTTTATACAACTGATGTATGTATGAATTATGATAAGAGTTATATGAGCCCCCAATAAAATGATTATAAAAAAATTGCCAGGCCATCAGCAGATAGCATGCAGCAAATAGTTGGTTAGGCTATTTTGCCCCTCATATTTATAGTAAAACCTCACAAACTTGAAATAACCCCAGAAAGACTCTTATTTTAAAAAATTGGGGTACACACAATGATTCATAATGAATGGGTGGTACATTGTTGCACAGGAACCCTAGTGTTATAGTTGCACATTGGGCTGCTAACCATACAGTCATAAGTTCAAAACCATCAGCTTCTCCACAGAAGAAAGATGAAGTTTTTCATGCTCATAAAGATTTACAGTCTTATAAACCCACAGGGGCACTTCTATTCTGTTCTATAATATAAGGTCACTATCATTCGGAATTAACTCAATAGCATTGAATTTTTTTTTTTGAGACTTTGCTGCATACATCAAAACATTATTTTCCTTACTGCATTTTATGTTAAAGATGTTTCTGTTAATCGGAAGTGTTCTTTTAATGTTTATCCATAGAAGGGCACCTATGAGGAGAGCTTCAAAACGTTTGTGGAAAAATGTATCATCTTTTCCTTTTGTTTTTAATTAATTATTTTTTAATGATCTTTTCATTCTAGTTTTTGAAGCCCCTGCCCAATATATACTTTATACAAAGCCAAACATTGGACTAACTAAAGCTAGATAAGAACCACCCCTAATTGGACTTAAAAACAGACTTCAGGAATGCAAGCCCTTTCTAATGGGGGGACCTGCCTGTGGGGATAAATCAGAGAGTCTACATTGCAGGTGCATCTCCGAAGGCATTCTCCTTACCTTTCCCATTTTGCCATGTAGTATACCAAGATAAAGTAAGGAAAGAGGTGATAAATACTAAAGCCGTGGCTACAGTTCCATTACGGAGCCTCATCTCATTTCACCATCACAGTGGTTCATATGTTTACGATGATAACCAGGACCGCTTTCTTTTGATCCTGAAGTCAAGGGAATCCAGCACTCCTGGCTCCAGACCAATGACAACAATCACCAAGCGAGGCCCATTTCAGATGTTCTGCAGAATGCGTCCACCATGGCGTCTCAGGCTTGTGTTCACGGACTTCATAGGCTGATATAGCAAGCTCTTTTCTTTCTATGTAGAATGGACAAGAGAAAGAAGAACCTGTTTGATGATGTAAAATACTGGTCCCTTCATTTATTCTTCACGATGCTAAAAAAGACTCTTGGCAGGACTACACTGTAACTATAAAGATACTTCCCACATGTAAACTCATTTAATGT